TATGAGCTTTTAGACATACGGCGCAAGCTGAGCAGGGCAAACGCCGTAGAAGCAACAGAATTCCTTCGCCAGTGGGAGGAGAGGAAAAATGTAGCCGACATGAAAGGGATATGCGTAGAATGCACAATACCCAAGACGGTGGTACTACACCGCATCCCACCCCACAGGGATCAGCTCGACATGATCGGGAAGGCCGTATTTTGCCTTAAGCTCTAACAAATACGCCTCCTTCATCGCCGACTTAAAGGTCCAGCGTTCAGCTTCAGGAAATTTTGAGAAATCAGAGATGGCATCGGGGTTACGAGGAACTATCTCTTCCACCGTAGGGAAGCTTCCATCCTCAACAGCAGTGGGAACGTTCTCTGCATGAGGAGGAAAAAGAACCGGTAGAGAGACTGGGTCACTTCCCTCGCCGGACTTAGAAGGTACATTCGGCATGTTTTCAGTGAAAGAGAGGATGTATCAAACGGCGGAGGATTAAAAACGATAAGAATCGCTGGAACAAAGGGAAAATATGCACAACAATGAAAAGGGAAGAAGAAGATATAGGGTTTCGATATAGGAAATCTGTAAAGTTTAGAGTTACACCCTTACATCCATATTTATAAGAATTAAAGCGTCAAAATCGAGAAATTGGCTCATCATTAACTGGCGTCTAAATTGAAGCAACAAGACCAATCAAGAGTCCCACGCAAAATGCATCTATGCATCAGGAATACGCGTCATGATGTCGCATGAGGCCGTGACGTCACCTTGATTCATGGACAACACAACTCCAAAATTTACGGCTCACGAGGGGCCACGTTGCCAACTCGCCTCGGTCATCACGACCTGATCAGCTCATCTAATTGTTTCGACCGCAATGAACAGAATCCGCTCATCGAGCCCACCTGAGGCCGACCTCAATAAGCGGAGGGACTAACTATATGGGTCAAAATCTTCCCTAGAATATTTAAGATACTAAAGAAAGAATTCTCGAGTCGTTGTTAGTCGAGGTGGACCAGGAAGCAGCAAGACTCATAACCGAAGAGCCGACGAGAGCCGTGGTCGAGATGTCAATAATGGTCGAGGCCGAGCACCGTTGATGAAGCTGTAACGACTAGTTTTCAAAATAGGATATTAAAGGGAATATGCTAGTGGATATTCTCTATACTTGTACTATTAGAGTTTACTAGGAATATGTCTCATATAAATAGAAAAAGAGACAATGATATGAGACATGTGATATTCATTTGTTAGAAGAGACTTTGACAAAAGATTCTCTCTCTCTTATTAAGATACAAACACTACATTTTCACCAAGATTCTTGTCTATATTATTCTATACTTTTCCATCAGATCCGAGAATAATTCAAACATTCATGAATTTATCTGTCACTCATCATTGTCAAGAGGAACAACCATCTAGTTTATTCTTTATTGGGTAAATCACTCCTCTTATTTACTTAAATGTCATTTATTGTTATTCATTGCTATTAAATGTTGCATTATTGCTCATGCTTTTTGGAATAGTTATTGCAAATTGATATCACTTTTCTACCCTATCTATTCAACTCTTGTTTCGCTTTCGGAAGTCACATCTAGAAATATTATTATTAACTAGATTTAACCCATAATCACATAAATTTAATTATTTGAACCAAGAGCTATATTTTTGGTTCAAACAACACTGTTAGTATATATTAGGCAAGTTATCTCTTAACTTTTACACTTAGCATATTCTAGTATTACTCCTAAAGAAACATGAGTTCAAGGTTAAGCTTAGAAATAATAATTTGAATCACCATTATATAAATTTAAGTTATATACATCGTCAATGTAAAAAAAAAATATTGGTTCATATATAAAAAATAAATGATCAATGAGTAGTTGTAGTTCTTCTTCTCCTCCTTTATGTCTAGGGTTGTCACTTAGGTTTCTTTTAATGTGTCGTCAGAGCTTATATACAGTATATCTCAAAAACATCCAAGCAAACTATTGGATTACGATAATTGCACTATCTTAGCTAAATATAAGGTAGTTTGACAAAAGATATATGATAATAATAATAATAATAATATCTTCGTTCCATTTTATGTAGTACTTCCTTCATTTGAATTTATGTTAACTTATTTTCTTTTTAGTTCGTGTCAAAAAGAATGACCATTTTTCCTATTTGAAAATAATTTACCTTTATACAATAATTAATAGTCATACAAACTATATATACCTTATTTTACACCACAAGTTCAAAAGTCCTATCTCTTTTCTTAAACTCTGTGCCCAGTCAAATGAGTTCACATAAATTGAAACGGAAGGAGTAACATTTATTCTTGTTACTCTGCCCAAAAATAATTGACTTATTTTTGTTGGTTTTAGAAGTTCAATCAGAATCCAAGAACTGCGGGGAGGTTCTATTATGTTTACATTTCTATTTTTTCTCTCAATAACAAGACTCTCTAGGACTCTATTTCAACCGAAAATACTATTTATTTATGTCACTTATCTTTTGTTTCTTAATCTCAATCTTCATTGAAACACTATAATATGAAATAGGATGGAGATTGTACTAATAACTAAACATCAGAAATCAACAAATAATTAGTAACAAAGAAAGCAACTATTACATCCCATTCATTTTCTACCAAAACAATAATTTTCAAACAAATAATAAACAATAAGTTGAAAAATAATAATAGTCTAAATTCTGCACATTTCACATTTGAATGGATGCAATTGATAAAGGAATTCAAAACACATGAATTTACTGCTTGATTTAATAATACAACTTGGATACTTAATGCCAAATGGTTTGGTGTGTGCCTTGAGACTATCAGTCTCTCTATCATGAGTAAAACAAAAGGAAAAAAAATATGTAAGATTGGGATATCTCATATAAAGCAAGCCAAAAACTTGAAGCAGATAATCAATATTTTAACCAATATGTCATCGATAAATATCGTGGTGAAGTGGTAAGGACTCCTCGTTTTTAACCAAAGGTCTCGATACGTGTATGGAGTCGTCTTTATTAGTAAATAGTTTTACGCTCAATATGAAATTTTTTGTGAAAAATCAAATTTAATTGAGCCTAATTTATACACCGAACACCGAATGAAAAACAAAAAAAAATTATAACCATCATGTCTTCGACAACCACCGTAAATGGTGACATTGTCACCGCCCACAAACATTTTTTATACCTAATAATTTGAAAACAAAGTCATCTAATTATTGATACACGGCGAAACCAAAGAATTAGAACCTTATCATAAATTTATATGCTAATAAAGATATAGAGAGCTTTTAATATTATATATATATATATATATATATATATATATATACTAGAAAACTGCTTAAAATTGTCCAGAAATACCGACCGAAATCGGTCGGAAAATTGAAAAAACCGACCGATTTCCGACCGACTTTAATCCGTCGAAAATAGGTTTATCGGTAAAAAATAGCGACCGAAGTCGATCGCAATTTTCGACCGATTTCGGTCGGTAAATTAATTTTCACAAACGACCCAAAAAGAAAAATCTGCCGACAAGACCGACTTCGTATTTTCTGACCGAATTCAGTCGGTATTTTTAATTATACAATTAAAAAATGCACCGTTTGGAACTCGAACTAGGGCCTGTACTATGGCAGCATACTATTCTACTACTAGACTATTGGTATATTTTGGTTTATGACTTTCTTTTAATTTATTTGTACTCTTTAATTTTATTTTCGCGCGAAAATAATCGATCGATTTCGATTAAAATATAAAATTACCGACCAAAGTTGGTCGGTTTTTTAAAATGACTGACTGAAATAATCGACTGATTTCGGTCGGTTTTTTAATATTAGTTTTACTTTATTTTATATGAAAAATCAACCGATTTCGGTCAGTTTCTTAAAAAATAAATTTCGCGGGATGCTAAAATAGTTTTTCGCATTTTTGCGCCAAAAACAAACGATCGAAGTCGGTCGGTTTCGTAAAAAAATAAATTAAAAATAAAATATTTTAAAAAACCGACCGATTTCGGTTGGTTTTTTGATTTTGGCCGAATTTTTAGTAGTATATTTGGCATAATAATGACATTAGTTAAACTTAAATGAAAAGACATGATCAATAATGATTTATATAGTTGACTCCCAACTTATTCGGTATTGAGGCGTGATAGTTATTGTTATTATTGAGACGAGATGGGAGACACGCTATAAGTTAAGTACAAATCTCTAAGTTAAAATAGATTATATGAATTTTCTAATGGAATTACAGATATTGATTAAATTTTATCGCGATCTGCTATTGAGTTTATTGTTAGTGATTAAGTTCTGTTGTGATTGCAATTGTGTTTATAAATTTTTATTAATTTCTTTTTAGTGTTACTTTTATTTTAGGGTTTTGAATTTTTTAAGCTGTTGAATTTTGAAGAAGAAAAATGAAATCGAGAAAATTAGATGAGAGAAAAATAAAGGATAAATAAGAAAAAAATCTATGTTTTAATATTTAATTTTTTATTTCTTATTGTCTTCAACTGAATTTACTGTCATTGATTAAATTATGTCATGATTTGCAATTGAGTTTACTGTTATTGATTAACTTTTCTAATATTTTAAGATTATGAGCATTCAACCAGATTTAACCCAAGAAAATAAGATAAGAGAATAAGAAAGAAATAAGGAAAAATTATAAATATGAATAAATAATAAGAAAAAATCACATGGCTATTGTTTTTATCCTCAATTGTTTTGCGTGTCACAAAGAGACTGAAAAAATTGAAGAAACACAACAAATTAAAGCAAAGAGAGTTCTAATTTGCTAAAATTGCGTTTACAGTATGCAAGTTTTTTTTTTTATATATATACTTCCAGTTGGTTAATAAAATTGTTTTTATTTACCAAAAAAAAAATTAGAAACACCTAATAATTTAAACAAGTAATTAGTAGTAACCGGTACATAGGGGTTTTTATGTATTAACTCAACAACTATGCAGAAAATGGTTATCAAAAGTGTGCTATTATTGGAAACTATAACTTACAATTGCAAAAGCTCTTAAAAATGGAAACCATACTTGCAAGTGACATAAGATACAAACACCCCAATGACTAGTATTATATGGATTATTAGTCTTACCACTATTTGAACACAATGCTTTAAAATAGTAATCCAATACTAATTACTATTACTAATACTAAATTTTTTAATCTTAGAGCCTGCTGCTGATAAAGGATCCCCAGCACCTCAAATATTGAAATTAATACAAAGATTGAAAAGCAGAAACAATCCAAGATTTTAAAGCATAGGTTACAATCTATTTCATTAATATTGCAAGATGTCTGCAGTGATAATTGGCTGATTAGAGTAGAGATAATTCCAAGAATCATTCATAAGAAAACCATCAGCCATATACTCAATTTGAGTATTGCCACTGTTGTTGGCAATGAAGAAACTGATGATTTGTGTTAAGGACTGAAATCTATTGCTAAGTTCAACCACTTGAGCTCTCAAGATTGAGTTTTCAGCTTCAACATTGAGGTAATGTTGGGTTGTGACATTCATAGTGGTCAAGATTTGGTTATTTTCTTTCCTATGATGGGCTAATTGGGACATAAGATCATCCAAATGTTTTTGTTTCCTCATTCTTGATCTTCGAGCCGATTCGCGGTTCGATATCATCCTCTTCCTTTTCCTCTGATCCATTAACCGTCGAACATCTTCTTCTGAGCCTGAGTTCTGAAATGTATATGAACCTGAACCTAATGATGTCCCACTTGATGAAGCCATGACCAAATATTTTTTTATGACCAAAACTTAGGAACAATAATAACAACGAAAAATGTTCAAAACTATCCTTGTCTTTTGGTAAATGATTTAAATTTACGCTTTTGATCCGTAAATACCTCCAACGTTATTTCAGGACTTAAAACTACCCCTACAAAAATTAGCAGGACACAAAATAGTGATTTGATGCAAATAAAGAGTACTAATATGAATGTGAAACTTAATTGTAATATGAATAATTCTTATTTAGAGGAAATTAATTATGAAATGCAGTAAAACCAATAGAGGAAAACAACTGAGAAAGATTGCACTAAATGAGTCCTGCGCCTATATGTGAAATTTATCATAAAACCAGAAAGGAGGAGTTCAGTGAGAATTGCAGACATGAATTTCAAAGATTAGAAATATTAAGTTTAGCATCAAGATTTGCTCAAAAACCCCAGATGATTCTGAGGCACAAATTTCAAACTTTTATTTATGTTGCTCTTAAATCTTGAAAATAAAAACAAAAATTTTAAGGAGATTAAGACCAGAACAAGAAACAAGTAAAAAGTGAGGCTTTGAAACAGAAAAGAAGCAGAGTTTATAGCTTGAAACTATGAAGAGAAAAGGTAGGAAAAAGAGAGAGGATTGTAGAGGTGATTTGGCTTGGGATTTTATAGCTGAAAAAGTGGGACAGCATCTGAAATTTTTTCCAGGGAAATTGTTTTAAAAAAAGGATTAATAATCAAGGGAAAATCAAGTGGAAATAAAATAGAAAGAAGTTTGGAATCTTTAGAGAAAAAGGGTGGGGTGTGGGGAAAAATATGATGGGACATGTGGGGTTGGAGAAGAAAACTCCACAACCGTCTAGATCCAGCTGGGGTGCAACATTGCTAGAGTGAGTTAAAAGTCTCAAAAGTGATAGTAGAAGTATTATTCCTAAATTTTCCTTATGTATACATCTGATTTTGGTTTAGAAACAACAAGTTAATAGTATTAATGAATGCAAGTATTTTTTTTTCGTAAATATTTACGCTAAATTAATGAATGCAAGTATTTTTTTTGGGTTTGCACTTAATAATGACTAATTTTGATTTGATATATAAATTAGATGTGAATAAATAATTATTTTATATTTTAAATAATTTGATTGTGTATATATTTTGTAGACGGTTAATGCATAAAACATAGCTCTGTTTTAAAAGGCATTTTTGGGGCGAGCCCCGGGGCGAGCCGTACCAAAAACGCCCCGGGGCGATGGTGTGGGGCGAAAGTCTCAAGAGTATGAGGCTGAATATGAGTCCATAATTGCAGGTCTCGAATTGGCTAAAAGCTTGGGGGCCGAGGTGGTCGAAGCTAAGTATGACTCTCTCCTTATGGTAAATCAAGTCAACTGGACATTCGAAATAAAAGAGGAACAAATGCGAAGGTACTTTGAAAAATTACAGGTAACGCTGCATCGATTCAAGGAATGGACGTTACAACACGTACCCCGGGATCAAAACAGCAAAGCCGATGCTCTGGCTAACTTGGGGTCATCGGTTGATGACGATGAATTCAGCTTGGGAACGGTCGTAAAACTCATAAAATCAGTAGTGGAAGAAGGCCCTGTAACACCCCATAAATTTGGCTTAGGTGTGAATGTGTTAAATGAGTAGTAATGTTATATTTTGGATATGTGAAGTTCTATCGGTATTAGGGGTGACATGTGGGCCGGTCTGGGCTTGGGGCGTACGCCCGGGCGTTCGGGGCGTATGCCCTGGCGTTTAGGGCGTATTTTTTTAGTAAGGAGTAAGCCCGAGAGACTTTTTCAAATTAAAACAAAATTTGTTGAATTAGTCCTTCATATAATACCCAAATTCTCAAAAGTCAGTTTGGTAATTACCCAAAAGGTTTAAAAAGGAACTCAAAAGTATTAAATTTAAAAGTAAAGACCTTTTTATTGATTTAAGCCCTAATTCATGGTTTTTTCAATTTTTTATCTTGTCTGCTAGTCTGCTAAATATCTCCCAAATGCAACGAATATTTAATTTTTTTTACAAATACAAAAAGAACTACATTTTTCTTCATAGCAGCAAATTCAAAGTTCGAATTGCAGGTTAATCATCCTTTTTGTTCCTCCATATAGAAAATTTTATTCTTTTAGACTTAAATTACTTGTGCTTGTAAGTAACGTATAATAGATTGTTTTGATTAGTTTTTTGTGGGGATGGAGCACATATATATATAGTTTTTCTTCAATTTTTATGTAATTTTACCTGTTTATAAATATTAACTGTCATTATATTATTTTATAAAATATTAAAAATTAAATACCTATGGGGCTTACGCCCCGCTGAGGCATATGTAAAACGCCCCGCCGTACGCCCATGCCTTTTAAAACACTAAAACATAGTACTCACTCTTTTCCGTTTCATGTCTAGTCCTCCTACTTTAAAATATTGTTTGGATGGTTGTATTACTATATCGTATTATTACTTTAAATACACTATTTATTTTGATTGCTATTTATATTTTTGTTGTATCGTATCGTTAAATCTATCGTTACATAACGATGAAAAGTGTCACTTTATAGAATGACGGATTCGATATGGTGGCCTCATTACCTTACTTTTTTCTCTCATATTGCCCTTCCTTATTATTGAATAATCATATTGTTTCATTTACCCTACTTTTTATGTAATAATTTCACTATGTATCCTATTTTTTTCTTAGTAAGATTGCAAGTTTATTCTTCATATTGTTGGTGTGTGACATTATAAAACGACGACAAGCGTTACAATCTATTCAAACGTTATATTCAGCAAACAATATAATACAATGCAGTACAATACAATACAATACATTATGAATCGGCATGTAACAACCATCCAAATAACCCGTAAGATTTAAATTCATTTGAAATTAAATGTGCTAACTATCGTACTAGGAATCTTACAGTTATTTTCTTACGGTTAAAATGAAAAAAATAAAGAACAAGAAGTAAAGAAAGAAATGATTATTTTTCATGTTGTTCGTGGCATAGTACATGACGAGCGCAAAATCGGTATATAAAACTTAGGCTCGCTAGTCAAAGATAGTATAATATTAAATCATCTCCACAAGGATTGATGTTCAGCTCAACACTATCCAGGATAATAAACCTTTGATTGATGTCATTATTGATTACTAAGAACACTAAGATTATCTATTGTAAGAAACTAATAGCACTTTAATGACTAAGTAGCAGCGATAGAATAACAGGATGAGAAGTAAGGGTTGTGACAAGATATGTGATCAACTATTGTTCTGCGTAACTCTAGGTTAAGTTCATTTTTAACTTCTATTGACTCCTTCAATTTCAACAGATGATTAGGCTACCTTAGGGATTCAAATTCTCCTTCCGAATGAATGAGAGTTCCCTTAATCAACCTAATAACAGGTCCTATGAACATATGCACAAATACATTGAATGAATGATCCTTGGAAGAACACCTCTCGATTATTCTTCTAAACTGGGTTAATTGATAACCCTCTAAGCTCCTTCGATTACCTAGAAAAGGCGTAAAATCAACCCACACAATATAGCACAATGCAATTTACAGCAACACTTCTCTTTTGATTAAAGTAAAACTACAATAAGCCTTGCAATTCAATTAATAGCTCATTGAATGAATTCGGGCAATTAACAAAAAGTAAAACCCAAAACCATAGTCAAATCACAACATTCGTCAATAACCCTAAGAAAGATTACTCCATAGTGGAGAAGTTATCCATCAGAAGAGTATTAGAAGAACAAGAAGACATTACAATTCCCAAAATCAAACCAACTTCAGTATTGAATGAATTGGATCAAGTATTTTGCGTTTTTGTTGCTTCCTTCAGTTTTTTCTCCCCCAAAAGTTGCTCTCTAAATCCAAGATACACTCTTTTTAGACGAGCTGGGCTTCATATAGGTCAAGAGGAGTCGCCTCCAAAATTATCAAAATAGGCTTGGGAAAGTTTTTCGGACTGGACGTGCGCGGCCGCGCACCTGGGCAGGTGATCGCGCATATGGCCGCGCACCTTGGACAGTGGTCTGCTCTACTTGCATGCCCAGTGCGCGCTCGCACACCTGGGTGGTTTCCTGCTTACTTCTTCGTTTCTTTCGTTACGTGCACTATTGTCCGTTGATCCCCGAACACGATCCCAACTTAATTCATAGGCTTTTACTTAGACTTCAAAGCTCCAGAATAGCTCGAATTAGCTCCACAACCTCATCGTAACTCGAAATCACTCCTATAAAGCATAAAACACACACTCAGTGCAAAATAATACCATTTAAAGCTCAAACACTAGTAAAGTGCAGCAAATTAGAGTGCAATTAATGGCCTAAATATGCGATTATAGCCTACCATCAACATCCCATACTTCAACTTTTACACAGTTCATAACAATTTCAAGTGCTCATGAGAGGTATAAGGTTCAAATGAATGGTCAATTCAGACAAATGGGTAAAGCTTGTAATGTGAGTGCCAAAGAAATAGGATTACAGGCTCAAAGGGGTTAACTAAGATATAACAATTATGCGGGTAAAAGCATATAACTAGTTCAACAAAGAAATGCCCATATCACTTCCAAGATTGAATAAAACTACTATTTCGCTTTACAAACACACTTGGCAAGATCTAGATATTAAATGCAATGCAATGAATAATACAATTCTCACACACACATGGCACATACTCACTCAGGATCGGACTATCAAGACACTCTAGTCAAAGCAGTTAAGAAATGTTAAGATAATAAAGTTTAAGATACTTACACAAGAGTCAAAAACTGAGCCTAAGCATCACAACTAAAGAACTCACTATTCTCAAGGCATAATAGAGTCAATAGATATTGCCTTCCATCCAAAACATAGCTCAAGGTTCCTACTCCTAATCAAAATAAAAACTAACTACATCCGGTTCAATCAAAACCCTTGAAAAAGAACCGCGACACAAAGAAAAATCAAATGGGAGTTACTACACTACCTAACAAACGAAAACCTTTTTTTTCTTTCGACTTTAATCCCTCAAGAAACCTATCGAATGATATCCATCGTCGGAAAAAATTAAAAATTTTAAAATATTTATGAAATTTAATTTTTTTTTTCTTTTTTTTTCAATTAAAGTACTACAACTAATAAAAACAAACTACAACTACTAAAAACAAAAGTCATGTACATACAACATACATATATCCCCCACCCCATACTTTAAATGGTGGCATGTCCCCATGACACGCAAAGAAAAATGCAAAGGTGGATAAAAACTCCCCTGATCAAGTTAGTCTGTGTCTGAGATAGTGTCGGGGTCCAGTTAACAAGCCCTGCCAAGTACACGTAGCCATGTCAAGATCCTTTTCTTGGATATGGCATTCTGTATGTCCAGTGCGTCCACTCGAGTACCCAAATCATTGACGGAAGTACGCATCTCTGCCATCTCCTACTCTAAAACGCTCATTCTCGTGTCACATCTGCCGCCTGCGTTTCCCCAACACCCAGCTCATGCAGTGGAGAAGTAGCGACATCCTCACTGTGCTCCTTATTGCCCTCGTCAGGCGCATCAGATTCCTTACAATCTGCCTCAGTAGGTCCAACAAGTTTCTTCCAAATTACAACTTTATCAACCCAGAATTTTTGTTCGCGCTTGACCTTCCTATCCGTGGCCCTGTTTTTCGGCACCCGTGCCTCATGACATAACTGAGTGACTAATGAGGGGAAGAAGAACCCATACCTCTATACAGGACACTGAATGGTCATTTCGTCTTGAATGGCCTGAGCCACATCAAAATCGTGGCCATTGATGAAGCACCAAATCAAAGCAGTCCGGGGACCATTCACCTCAGTGGTGTTGCCTAAAGGCAGCTTGCGGTTATTAATGATGTACAACCAGTATTCACTTCAAAGGTAAGCAAAGCCGAGTGAAATGTGCCCCTCCTTTATTCACACTACCTCCTTCCCAGGTATACAAATGGTTGCAAAGAACGGGCGCCACAGGTATGGTTCTCCACGGTGAGTGGCGTAGTAGTCACCTATATCAGGGTTTTCCACGTACTCCGGCAAATGATAGGCCCTTCGGATTGCCTCTTTGGAGAAGTCTACTCTCTTCCTCCGGACTGTGCAGACATGGTTTTCATGGTCTGGGCAGTTTGCATAAAACTCCCGAACAACCATTAAGTTTGCCTCATCAGGTTCTTCAAAGAATACCCCCAAGCCTCGCCTGACCAATTCATTATACATTCTTTGGCAGTCAGTCTGGAGAGATCCAATATCAATTCCCCTACCCGGTATATGCTTCTTGCTTGCCTTGTTTTGAAATCGTGCTTGGGCTTCCCAAAAGACGAACTTGTTCTGATCATATGGGCGAGCAAATGCTGAAGCTCGTGACCGGGATGAGCCCGCTTGACCACTTGTGAAGGCACCTATGGTTTTTTATATTTTAGATGGCGCCATAGTAGTTGTAACAAACTGCCAACTATTAGCTAATGAATCATTTGGCGAACCAAGCGGGGCTACTCAGACTTCACCTTCATACTTGGTCACAAAATTACACCCTCAATCTCATTGTGGCATTTATACAAACACTTAACATGCACGGCTGGTCCTAACCACCCCACACAACAATATTAGCCCTACTGAGACTAAGGATACACCAATGTCACAGCTAGCCACTATATGATCAGTATCCATGGTTAAACTCGTCTTCCACCCCACAAGAAAAGGAAACAAAAATAAAAATCTGCTATAACACAAGCAAAATAAAATACAATAAACTAAGAAAAGAGAGAGAGAAAGCATCTCACTTACCTGAGGGAACTCGGAAGAGAAAACTCGTGAGGTTGGGTGAAGGGAGGAGAGGAGGGGGTGGTGTGGTGTGGTGTTGTGTTTCTTACAGAGATGAGATGAGAGAAGGGGGAAGGGCGAGTTAGGGTTGTTTAGTGTAGGGGAGAGAAAGGGGGAAATTGTAGAATTGGGGGTTTTGAGCAGGGGGTCCTAAATTAGAAGGAAAAAGGAAAAAAAACTTACCTCGTGCGCGGNCCCCAGGTGCGCGGCCGCACACAGATACATTCAAAAGGTGCCTTTTAGACATATTTATTCCTACTTTCCACAACATCTACCTTCCTACACCTACCATATCATAATATATATTAATTTCTATTTATTCTACACTATAAATAAAAGTAAAAAATTCTAATTAATAGAAGAGTTAGAAGTAGTTCTGAGTTATAGTCGTCAACTTGACTTAATCGGGCATCCTCAACTGATTTTGATGCTCGAGGATTGATGAGCAAATCCTCCAACAAGATGCGGTTTTAATATGTGCCTATTTACTTTGAAACTTTCCGTTTCGTCCTGGTTCTGGATCTCTATTGCCCTATTTGGTGATACACGTTTCACCACATATGGTCCCGTCCATCTAGACTTAAATTTTTCGGGGAACAATCTGAGTTTACTATTGTACAGTAAGACTCTGTCCCTTTTATGAAACTCCTTAGGCTTAATCAAACTATCATGCCACTTTTTAGTATTTTCTTTGAAAATCCGCGTATTTTCATACGCGTCCAGTCTAAACTTCTCCAATGCATTCATCTGCGCCAACTTGTGTTCACCTGCAGGACTAAGATCAAGATTAAGCATCTTAATTACCCAATAAGCTTTATGTTCTATCTCAACAGGTAGGTGACACGATTTTTCATACACTACTTTGAACGGTGAAGTCCTTATGGTTGTTTTGAACGCAGTTCTGTATGCCCATAGAGCTTCTTCCAACTTTACCGACCAATCCTTACGAGAAGCACTAACTGTCTTTTCAAGAATTCGTTTAAGTTCACGGTTAGCCACTTCGACTTGTCCACTAGTCTGGGCATGGTACGAGGTTCTTGTTTTGTGTGTGACCCCATACTTGAACAGCAGTGTGGCAAACTGCTTGTTCACAAAGTGTGACCCATTGTCACTGATAATCACTCTAGGTGTCCCAAAGTGGGTAAAGATGTTTTTCCTTAAGAATTCACACATCACCCGTGCATCATTGGTCCTAGTAGGGATTGCTTTGACCCACTTAGAGACGTAGTCAATAGCTACTAAGATATACTCATAGTATAGTATTAAATCATCTCCACATGGATTGGTTTAAGTAATATTCTAATAAATCTTCAGCTCAACACTATCCAAGATAATAAACCTTCGATTGATGTCATTATTGACTACTAAGAAAACTAAGATTATCCATTGTAAGAAAATAATGGCACTTTAATGAGTAAGTAGCAACGATAGAATAACAGGATGAGAAGTAAGTGTTGTGACAGGATATGTGATCAACTATTGTTCTGGGTAACTCTAGGTTAAGTTCATTCTTAACTTGTATTGACTACTTCGATTTCAACAGATGATTAGGCTACCTTAGGGATTCAAATTCTCCTTCCGAATAAATGAGAGTTCCCTTAATCAACCTAATAACAGGTCCTATGAACATATGCACAAATACATTGAATGAATGATCCTTGGAAGAACACCTCTCGATTATTCTTCTAAACTGGGTTAATTGATAACTCTCTAAACTCCTTCGATTACCTAGAAAAGGCGTAAAATCAACCCACACAATATAGCACAATGCAATTTGCAGCAACATTTCTCTTTCGACTAAAGTAAAACCACAATAAGCCTTGCAATTCAATTAATAGTTCATTCAATAAATTCGGGCAATTAACAGAGAGTAAAATCCAAAACCATAGTCAAATCACAACATCCATCAATAACCCTAAGAAAGATTACTACATAGTGGAGAAGTTATCCATCACAAGAGTATTAGAAGAACAAGAAGACATTACAATTCCCAAAATCAAACCAACTTCTGTATTGAATGAATTGGATCAAGTATTTTGCATTTCCGTTGCTTCCTTCCGTCTTTTCTCCCCTAAAAGTTACTCTACAAATCCAAGATACCCTCTTTTTAGATGAGCTGGTCTTCATATAGGTCAAGAGAAGTCGTCTCCGAAATTACCAAAATAGGATTGGGAAAGTTTTCCAGACTAGACATGCACGGCCACGCACCTGGGCAGGTGATCGCGCATATGGCCGCGCACTTTGGACAGTGTTCTGCTCTACTTGCGCGCCCAGTGCGCGTTCGTGCACCTAGGTATTTTCCTGCTCACTTCTTCGTTTCTTTCGTTACGTGCACTATTGTCCGTTGATCCCTGAACACCATCCCAACTTACTCCATGGGCTTTTACTCAGACTTTAAAACTCCAGAATAGCTCGAATTAGCTCAACAACCTCATCGTAACTCGGAATCGCTCCTACAAAGCATAAAACACACACTCAGTGTAAAATAATATCATTTAAAGCTCAAACACTAGTTAAGTGTAATAAATTAGAGTGTAATTAATGACCAAAATATACAATTATAGCCTACCATCGGTACAACATTAATATATAGGTAAAAGAAACAAGAATCTCTTATCATTCTAGCTAGGTGAAAGAGTATCCTAATCGTCCCCAAAGTTTTCAGATGCACAACTCTTAGAAAAAGGTTTCCCCAACCTTGTCACATTCCCACTAAACCAAACTAACTAAGTTGTCCTCTTTTACATTTTCATCATTGTTTTCTTACTCTATGAGTTGTTTGATACGCGAACTAAATTATCTCGGAATTATAGTCCTGAAATTATAATTATGGGATTAATTTTTCACCTGGGAGGTTGGATAAAATAATCTCAAGTTTGATGGGACAACGTGGAATATCCGGGATTAAGTTTAGGATTAAATTTATACTATGTTTGGTGGATGGTATAAATTATCTTAGGATAAATTTATACCGTCAACCAAACACAGTATAAATTTAATATCATACTTTACTCTGCCTTATCCCACGTACATGCGAATTTAGGGAGGCGGTCCTTCGCCGAAAAATTACACAGTACTACATATAGGGCAAATTTGGTTTACACCTCTATATATTATATTATGAATAATCTTGACATAGCTCAAAAGCATAGCTTAGTGGTCAAATGAGTTCAAAATATTTGTGAGGTTGTTGGTTCAATTTCCATTGGCAATAGTCTCTTTTAACTTTTTTAACGTTTTCTTTTTTGAACTCACTTAGTGAAAATCCTGACTCCACCACTGGTCTCACCTTGTCCTGCGTACTAAACAACCCCTTAACAGTACTATAAACGATTTTTCATACAATTAATGAATTTTAACCTCTAATAACACATTATCATAATTTAATTTACCGTATTATAAAATACTGTTTGTCTAAATATTCACACGTAATTACCTAATAAGTGTACAAAGAACTTAAATTCTTTCTTTTAGGTTAACTACAAGATTGGGTGTTATATAGATAATCACTAATACCCTTGCATTTAGTGCTTTTTCGATAATTAACCATCATTTATACTGACTTTAGGTGCATGATTATCGTTCATATGCCCAATAGGAGACATATGATGGCAAAGATGGATATAAAAAAAAACACACGTATTGAAAAAATTATAGTGACAGACGGGCAAATTTAGGCCATTTTTATGTTACACGTGAACCTATGATCTTTCCGGCAAACAAGTATTTCATGTATAGAATTCATAAACAATAACAACAACAACCCAGTATAATTCTACTAGTGGGGTCTGGGGAGAGTAGTGTGTATGCAGACCTTATCCCTACCCTGGGGTAGAGAGACTGTTTCCAAATGACCCTCGGCATCCTTCTCTCCAAGAACTCCCCACCTTGCTCGAGACTGTTTCCAAATGACCTTCGGCATCCTTCTCTCCAAGAACTCCCCACCTTACTCTTGGGGTGACTCGAACTCACAACCTCTTGGTTGGAAGTGGAGGGTACTTACCATCAGAGCAACCCACCTTGTCTAATGTATAGAATTCATAAAGTTAACCTAATATTATATGTTATCACCCTTGCTTCAAAATGGTTGAATGGTGCACCGAGTTAATTTTGAGTTATTTATCCGAAGGAACATGAATTGATTTTCACTTATAGTACTACTTTGTTTTTTTCTTTTTAAGTGGTACAATCATGTTCTAAAAATTCAAGATGACGACAGAAAGCCTCAAGTTTGAAGCCATTTGAAAAAATTAGGAACGTGAAGTTGAAGCCATGGTCTGAAGCCTTTTCATGTTCACTGCCCAGTTGAGTGAATCATGAGCATTAATTCTGGCAAATTTCTTAACCAATAATTTTTTTCTTTTTTTCAAAACAATGGATTTTCTCACAAAACTACCTAGGGTATTTGCTTTACCGTTGTTATACTTTTTTTTCTTGCTTATTTCCTTAACAACTGCAAAAATCTCAGATTATGTACGGACTGTTGCTGGTAAATGGGTCATTCCATGTGCAGACCACTTAGATTCCTTCTGATTTCTGAGGCATATTGCAGGAATCGGAGATATAACACTGCTACTCTTTTCTTTGACGGTGCCACTGCCCACTAGTATTAAAATGGCTTAATTAGTTCTAATACCTTGTCTTAATTAAAGAATGAGATTAATGAACTTCTTAACTATGCATCAATAGTGTCGGATCTAACGATGAACTTGCAGGTTCGGCAGAACTAATGATTCACTATCCATCTTATATAAATGTGAAAAACCAGTATAGATGAAATTCATCCTACATTTTAGAATCAACACTTTTAATTCAGAGCTTCAGAATCTGTTACTATGTATAAATGAAGGTGTATTAACTCTAGATCTAGGAGATTATATGGAACTTGCATAAGTGATAACAGGAGTATGTTTTTGCCGTTAAAAGATTTATTGCAACAAAATTAAAGAATAAAAAACATTTTAAATAATGCAGCAGTCCTCGTTGTAAAAAATGTTTTTGCCTGCTTATCTCGAAGGTCGAAATTAAAGGTGCCTATCAATAAGGTCGTAATCCTATCACGAATATTAGGTCACTTATCAATAGTCTTGCAATTAAATAAAGTGTTAAGGGGTGGCTGTCTTGCTGAAGGCTCTTTGACCACAAATTTCACAGTTAAGAAGCCAAGTTTCTTTTTAACCAAAAGTATTTTTTTATTTTCAAAAAGTAATTTTTCCTAAAATTAAGGTATTATTGGCCAAGCTTTTAAAAAAAATAAAATTGAGTAGAAGCAGAAACCGTTTTTGAGAATCAGAAAAAAAAAAAAAAGTTTCTCCCTAGAAATACTTTTTCGAAAATTTGAGAAAAATACACTTAAAAAGCATTGTTTTAAAACTTAGTCAAACACTAATTACTATTCAAATGTACTTTTTAAAATTAATTAGTCAAACACAAACCGTTCCTCATCAAAAATACTTTTTTTTTTAAAACAAGTTAATTTTAAAAGTTTGGTCAAACACACTATATAAGTTGGGTTAAACACTATCATCAGAGTATATAAATTTATGTTATACTCCCTCCGTTCACTTTTACTTGTCCACTATTGACTTTGCACGCCTCTTAAAAAATAATAAATGAAGCGTATAATTTACCATGATACTCATATTAATTAATGCATATCTTTAATAGATTTGAAAAAATAATTTGAAATAAGTAATTAATACAGTGGTTATAATAGAAAAAAATAAATTGTCTCCTATTGATATACTAAAAGTGACAAATAAAAATAAAAATTTATTTTTAAAATATTGAACAAGTAAATGTGAACGGACGTGCACAAATTGCGAGAAAGTTATAACGTTACTTTGCATGAAAAGCTGTGGCCATAGTAGGTAGAAACAAGGATCACACATGGTAGGACAGTCTCACTAATATTCCAAGGTAAATTTGAACGATAAATTACTATATTTTCAAACTGAAATCAGAATATCTGGCTACTGTTGCTTAGTGGCCTGGTGGATGAGTTTGTAACCACACGCACGTACGTTTCATAAATTAAATTCTAAGCAAAAGTGTCCCAGTTTGATAATATATAAAAATTTATTTACATTATCAGACTATTTAAAACAAGAAGTTTGGTAATTGTAATGAAGTCGGATATTCAAAATATCGGTTTGGTCAGTTACAAGAGAAGT